AAACCAAGACTTGCGTTTCAGGCAATCATTCTGAATGTGTCCTTCTTTCTTAGAGAAGTAACATTTATTTGCTTGATTTTTCTTCTTTCCATCATTAGTGACCTGCGAAACTTTAGCAGGTCCTTTCTTCTTAAACTTGTTGGATTTAGGTTTGAGAACATCATTAGCTCCATGACCCACAAGGTTGACCGTATAAACTCTTTGTGCCTTAAGCCTCGTCTCCTCCTGAACAAGCTTACTAGCCAATTCATTTACATCACATTTATCCTTAATAGTGTTATAGTTAATTTGAAAAGGCCCATATTCAAGAGGCAACGAATTAAGCATAAATTGCACCAGAAATGAGTAATCCATGGTCATGCATGCTGCAAGATTAGTCATGTCAAGAACATGTTGCTGCCAATGATTTATCTGCGGAACGAAAACGCTCTTCCACAAGCAAAAGATATGCTTTTGCATCCTCATTATCATGAAGAGTTGATTTAATGTTGTTGGCAACCGTCATTCGCATAAAGCGCAAACATAACCTGTTAGACCGGTCCCAAGCCTTACAATTTGATTTCTCAACCTCACTGCTTTGATCAGTAATGTCAGCGGACTTTTCTTCAAGCAATGTCAAGTCAATATCCAAAACACCTAAATAGAATTTGATTTGCTCACGCCATTTAGAGAAATTCAAACCATTGAAGACAGTAACAGAAGAAGCTTGCGAATGAAGAGAGATAGTTACACATACATAAATACTCACTTAATTAATATATTCAAAAAATACATTCATAACATATATTGCAGGTCTCCTTTAGGTAAACACAACAATCTATATCATTCTCATAAGTCGAATGTCATTTATCACTTAATGAAAATTAAATAAACTCCATCAAACATACATAGTATCTACATACGCTCGACAAGAGAATATTATGTTTCTCCTTAATGTTTATTAGTTATAGAACATTGATTCACCTTTGGGTAATACCATAATTTTTAACAACCAATAAACTCATTCGCTTGAATAATGATATTCTCATAAATTATATGACCAAACATTATAAAATTAATTCGACCACATTAATGACTAATAAATTAATTTTCTCTTAATATCATATAACACAATAACAAATAATCCTTATAAACATGATGGGAATTTGTGTATATCTCATTCATCATACAAACCAAAAAATAAACAAAATATGACTTTTTGTACATATATTGAATTATATGCCCAAAAAATCAAGTCTACATTCCAGACTTGACTCATGATACATGGTTGGTGGGCCAGACTCTCATTAACAATGGTTTATTACAAAAGAAAAGTGTAAATGGATACTTTGATAATTAATTTCCCAGCCTCATCATCATAAGCGGATAATATTGTGGAAATTAAAAACGTTTGACCAACCAACCAAATTTCCCGAAGATTGATCCGCAAATCCCAAAACAGAATTCAGGTTTTGTCAATTAAGCTTTTACAGTGTGATAGTCTTCCGTGCATTTACACATATGTAATTAAAATATTATAACTTATTTGTTAGCATATAATATTAAAATTAATAAATTTAATAATGATATTATATTTAGAGTATTATAAGTGCAGCGAGTGTCTTCTCCTCCTTCAGGAATACGATTGTGGCTTGATCATGATATTATTGGAGTGTCTTACTCCCCGTCGAGTCCTAGTCTAGTAGCTTTGGGCCCCCGGCCTCTTTTATTGTACCGAATAAAAGAGAGTATTATAAGTGTATATAAAATTAAAATTATAAGTTAGATAATGATATTATGTTTTAAAATTTGATCATTGATTAAAATAAATAGTACAAAACTATTCGATTACATATGAATCACTATATTAATTGCATAAAATGTAACAAATAATATAAATTTTATAATTTTGAAAGATCAAGACCAATTAATTAGCTGAAAGATATTAAATTTATTATAGCAATTGCTTATGCAATTTTAAGGGATTTTACTATGACATTAAAACAAATTAATTTATTTAACAAACAATCACTTAATTAGATAAAAAAATATAATATTGATTTTAGAATAATAAACTTGAACAATAAGTTTTTTATGTTATGTAATTCTCATATATCCTTTAGTACTTAATTAACCAAAACAAAGGCGCAAGAAAGAAAATATTTTATCATTAATAAGATAAGGTGGATTAATGGAATAATAATAATAATAATAGTGATTGTAACGGAAAAAAGCGGAAAACAACAAATAGTATTATTAAGTTTTTTATTAATAAATATATATATAGATAATAAATTGAATTGTAACGGTTTTTTGTTGGAAAACTATAGAGGTTTTATTAAATAAATTTTATCAAATAAACTATAGGGGCTGGTGCAAATAAAAACCAGTCCTGGTGTGAGAACCGTGAGAACCATATTTGATGCTATTTTTAATTGTGTATGATGCTATTTTTAATATTATATGATGCTATCATTTTCATAAATGCTAATATAAATTGTGTTGCTATTTTTAATAAAATACATCCTAGTTAAAAATAGCACTAGAACACACTCAATCATAGCACTTCGCACAATTAAAAATAGCGGTTCTCATGGTTCTCACGCTAAGACTTAGTTCTCACACCAGGACTAATTTTTATTTGAACTAGCCCATATATATATATATATATATATATATATATA